GTCAGTCTCATTCTCGTTCTGCATCTCCGAAGAACTTTCGTCGTTTGATGAAAGAACTGAATCGTTTCCATTTGTAGAAAATTGATGATCATCCATCTCAATAAAATCTGTAGACGTCGTTGTTTTTCCTACTGAACTCACATCACTCAAAGGTTCAAAAATTTTCTTTCTTTTACGACTTTTATGATTGTCAGTGTTCAAACTATCATTTCTCATTTCCCATTCGTCATCGACTTCTTCTGATTCAACTGCTTCCATCGATTTTCGCTTTCTGTAAATGAAGTATGTGGGTGCGATGTTATCACGCAATCGGGCACTCTTCCGTAGACTAGAGTGAAAACTGTCATTAGTGACTTCTGTGGGCGTTGTAGATGAACGCAAAGCATCAGCCACGAAACTGTCTGAGCTGGCACCTTGCATATCCCTATAAAATTCACATACACAAATTCACATCACATCTAAACATAATCGAATAATTGTAAAGCTTGTAAACGTTTTTAACTATGTTGCCTACCGAGTACGTAGTTGTGTATTCAACTGTTTGTTTCTATTAAACTCTTCTAGTTTCAGTGTTTTCTTAGCTTTCTTCTCAGCAGCAATTTGTCGCTTTTGTCGCATTGCAAGTCTTTTTGATGCGGCTTTATCAATCTTCGGTGATTCCATGTTTTAGCACTCAATTCACATTCACAAATTTAATCACGAAAACACCGAATCTAATACCTCACCATCAATGACATTTCATCGATCTGAAATACTATTCTAAATGTGAAATTACCACATTCTCACGCATGTACATAGTTGGATTACACGTTGATAAGCCTGCAGCAAACCTCTAGAGTTATAGATAGACTTATCATGTTTTTTTCCTTGAATTAGCACGATAAATAATTTAATTCGTGGTTGAATGAATATTATAGAAATTTTCACTACTTGTTCAGCCTATATCCTGAACGTTTATACGAATCTAAACGTAAGTCATACCAGAACTGTTTATCTTTTACTAAAAATAAAAGAGCTGTTGAGTACAAGCGCGTTCGATAAGAACCTGCCGTGTGCTACTCAAAAATGAAAATTTTAAAGGCGAGGGGCGCGGGAATAAGGAAACTTTGGATTAGCGTAACTTTTGAATGGAAGGTGGCACACCTTAGCGCCAAACGTAATTGAGTTCCGTTATTCAAACACAACAGAGTAATATTAGTTGCAATACCTTTTCTCAAAACTTATTTCGGCAAAATTATAAATTGTTGCAATTATCAAATTTTATGAAAAAGTAGTTCCTTATGAATTTTCATTTTTATTTCGTTATTCGTGAAAGGCACACTATTCTAACATATACAGCCTTAAAGTAGATGTCAATGAGATCCTAAAAAAAAATTTTCGTGTTGATTCGTGAAGACTTATCCATTTAATGAAGTTAATAAATTAGACATCACCACTACTTCTCTTATACATTATTTAAAAAATCGAACTTTACGAATATTTTACGGGTCGGCTATCGAGTATAATTGAAAAAACTATGTAGGACCCTGTTTTGTATCCTTAATTTATTATGAATCCGTTGTTACATATATACAAAAGGTTTTAGTTAATAGTTTTTGTACCCAGATCCTCGAAAATCAAAGGTTCTGAAGATTCACTCATAGCATAATTTTAAGTAATTTTAATTTCGGTTCGATTAATTGAACCTATTACAGATACCGAGAATTGAATGTAGATTGTTTAATCGAATTTGTATAATTGAAATATGAAATCTAGTCTTCATTCAATTTGATTAGTGTGTTAAGTATTGTCCACTGCCGAGGACGTTAGGATTCTGAGGGTTAAAAAAGTTCGATGTCAAAATTAAAGGTAAATAAAACGGCCTGCTCATTCCATTTATAAGGAAAAACTTACGTATCCAGTTGACAACTAAAAAGGCCTTATAAACTTTAAATTGTATTAATACTATAATGTTTCCATTTATAATAATGAAAATAATGTATCCATTATTTCACATTATTAATGATAGGTCATAATTAACTGTACAAAAGATCAGCCGTATTCCCATTTATTTACAGACCAAATAATCGTGGCTCGTATGTCGGTTCTTTCTTTCGGCGAAAGCTCTACCAATGAACTTCCCCTATCTTTATTCTCATTGGTTGGGGGGCGGAGCGTCTACTTCTATGCCTGTAACTTTGTGATAATACAACGTACTTGTAATAGTAGTATACATTATAGGTATTCATTTTGTTTCATTATCAGTAGAATGAAAGACATCTTGCTCTTTTTAAATTGTTATTAATTAAATTATAAATTACTCTTGATTAAATAATTTGCTTAATTTGCACATTACGTATTGAGTAGACATATAGCAAAATAATTTATCAAATTATTTTAGTAACAAGAATTTTTAAATGATTTTCATTATACTGTTACTGTTTATTTAAAAAACTAAAAATAAAATTGTATTTGAAAAATAATTTTATATTATTCAAAATGCTCATTGCACGTTTTGTACTCGCAAAAAATAAAAATTTGAGAGTAACATTCCCTAGTTTTTTATAAATAATTTTTTATTTATTTCAGAAAGTACAATAACTACAGATATAGGTATCAAAGATGCCAACTGCATTATTACAGAGTAGAGTATATAAAAACATAAGTATGCGTACGCCTACTGAATAAGATTTGCTTATCATCATTTTTTTATGTATATATAAGAACGACGTATAATAATAAACATCAATAACGGTAGCGTTTGGCATGTTTTAGTTTGCTTAATTAGCACATATATCGGGGTGATTACACAGGAAAAATATGCGTAATTAAAAATTATAAAACCTGCGTAATTAACTTTTAATACATTCGATGTAGACACAAATATAATTACAACTGGAGGGAAAGAGAAGGGATTTGAAAAAGAGTTTGGCGTGAGAGAGGGAAAAGAAGTCAGTCTTATAGAAGGCTATAGGGTAACATGCAAGATACTTTATTTTTTTTATCAGTTAATTCACAAACCAATAAATATGAGGTGATAACTTTATGTGATTACATTTTCCGTGGCAATACTCACCTAGCTGATATGTCACGTGACTCCAACTTGATTAAAAAATGAATTTGAAATAAATTATATTTTCTATTGGTAACGTGAAATAGTCCGTTAATCAATTGAAATAAAAATCAATTGGGGAAGTAAATAAATGGAATGACTTTAGTTTAAAAAAAATGCAAACTATCCATTTAACCTTTTATGAATATTATAAGAAGACACGAAAGAGCTTCAGTTAAAAGTGTATGTCTTTCGATCGGCTAAGATCGTTCTGTTCGTCGTATATAACTATACTTAGAAATCATGGTAGAGAAGATATCCCTACGCCCTCTCCTCGTTTTGGTTGTAGTCTCTCTCTTTCTTTTTTTATTCTGTATTCCTTTTCCATTTCCATCAGTTGAAATTTTTTCCACCTTTCCATATCCTCGCACATGTTGAAACTAAATATGTTCGGTATTTGAGACAAAAATATCTAAGGTCATTTTTATTGGAATAGTTGTAAAATTGCAGATCGGCGGAAGGAAATTTGTAAACTGTCAAATTTACAAGAGTGGGTTAATAAGCATTATATCGAGACTTTTGTAATGTGATTTTAGCCTTATAAATGTACAATCATTTATAAATAATTAATGTAATTGTTACAATAAAAATAATTATTACAATAATTGTAACATTATTATTGTTATAATTAGTGTAAAAGTTAATATTATTCAATAATAATTATTTTCTAAATGGAAAGTGTAATCATTAAGCGAGCTAAAAAGTTTTGTTTTAAATAAAAATTCAAATCTGTCAATCGATTTATAACTCGTAATTCATATACTACGTCAATTAAACTACACATTCTTTTTATGTGACTTATTAGCAAGTGAATTGTTTGGATGAAAAAACAAATTTTTTGAACTCTATTACGTTTAGATACGACATCTAAAATGATATATTAGAACTTAAAAAAGTATAAATATTGCTACCACTTCCAGAAGATTTTATGACAAGTTGTAAATGCACTGCTTGCATAAGCGAAAAATTTTGTTGTGAATTTTTTTGGTATGAAATATAAAGTTTAATGTTGTTCATTTTGTACATGTGCCAAAGATAAAAAAAATAGAAACAAATGAAATTAATTTATCAGTCAATATAAGTTATTTAAATGAATATTATTATATCGTTGATATAATTGTTAAAAATTGAATAAAATATAACATAAAAAATTTCTGTATAATAGGATCTACCAATACGCGTACTAGATCAATCATTGAAACATGGAAAAAGTCTAACTGTAACGAAAAACCTGCACTGAAGTTTCACTATACCAATAGTAAATAATAGAGTATCCAATTTATAAGTATCCAAGAATAAGTCGCTTTTACAGTTATAAAAAATATTGACTAGGCCAAAAGTTATTAACACTCAAAGTTGGTAAAACGTCAAATTTTGGACCTTGAAAAATTTATAACTTTTGAAATATGCATCTTACGAATAAGTTACAAGAGACATTTTCGCCTTAAAATAAGTCACATTTTCTGAAGAAAATTTGTCCAGCACGAATAAACGATGATTTTATAAATTGTTTAAACAATTGCACTTTAAACAATATTCTATGCGTTTTTCGAAAAACTGACTTGTGTATTTGATTTCTCAAGGGGCTCAAAATACATAAGAATAATCGGTTTTCAGTTTTGGTAAACTTATTGCATACAGGATGGTACTCAGCTTCCAGACTAATTGACTTGACAATCAGCTCGAACCGTGAAAAAATATATATTTACCGTTCAGACTGAAGTAAAATAATAATTTAAACTAGATTTACACTCATTCGATCACACATATTCTGCGCATATTTAGTGCGTCGCTTGCGACATCAAATCAGCTGATTTTTTCACGTGGCGCGAAACCGGTATACACACGCGCACGCGCAACGAGAGTTAATGGACTGATGGACAAGTGTGGAATTGAAATATCAGAGTAGTTTGGTTATTACCTATCGGTTAGGAATAGGTTTTTTACAACGACCGTAAAACAATTCTCAATATAAATAAATGCAGGCGAATCACATAGATAAATAATATTTTGCTCGAAAATTGAAATGGTAACTAAATACATCATGATAATTATTGTTTTGATAAAAATTGTTTTTATATCTTAATTTTCTAGGAGAATTTTGATCCAACTTTCAATTGTACTGGCAAAGTTAATATAAATAATTGGTATATCAATGATTCAAGCTTTTATAAGAAGAAAGATTTAGATATAGTTCTGAATAACAATAAATCATGTAGCAATGGAATTTTTAGTATTTTTAATTATGAAACAACTGGCATCAGTATTCTGTTAAAGCTTCAACATTTTAGTAGATGTTTAGAGTTAGTATATAAATTAATATCATAATTTTCTTAAAAAAAATAGCTTATTCATTAAAGGTTTAATTTTTCTACTTTTTCTTCATATAGTTCTAGATTAAAACAATTTGAAAGATATGAAAAATTAAATACTATTAATGAAACATTTGAATGTCATCAAACAGTTAGCTTCTATTTATTAAGAAAATCAACATGTGAGTTTGTTTATTACCTACGTAATTATTTGAAATGGTAAGTTTTGTAATATGAATGAACTTTTCACAATTCTGAAACTACTTTAAATGTTAATTATTTCATTTATCAGTTTAAAGTCAGAGAATTTTGCACTTAAAGACATAAGTAGTGATGCAGAAAGTGATTTTGATGATTTAGTTGATACAATCATTAAATTTCTCAATAGACTAAAAAACATACCAACATCAACTTTTCTTTATGTTTCATCAACTTCTGGAAATTCAGTATGTGAAATATTTAAATAAAATATTCAATGTTTTTTTTTAATTGTAAAAATAAATGTTTTCTCTAGTCTAAGCACCCAGAATATCATCTATATCACCTTCATTTGGATTTACGCTGGTTATTAATCACACTTCTTTATGTAAAAAATGATCAATGGGATCATTTGAATGAAATTACTGATGATTTGAAAAATTGTATATACGACATTATTGCAGATTTAATATATATAAATATGAATATATTTGAAAGTGTAAGTATTTGATTTAATATAAAAATTAATTTTTCATCAATTTTAATACACTTCACAGATTCCTATTGTGGAACTACAAACAAAAACACCATACAGCTGTACTTGTATGAGAGAATTATGGTTGATACTACAACTATTATTAGACGAATTAAGCAAAAAGAATGTATCTAAGGTATGTTTATGTAATTTCACTATATGATCAAATAGAAAATAATGATAATATGAAATAAAATATTTTTAGTGTTTTTGGAATTATTTTAATTCTGCTTTGAATATGTTGTTTTTTAATAACTCTATGGAAGAGATGCCTCATATAAAACAATATGGAAATTTCTCAGATTGCAAGAATCCAGAATTATTCTGTATATGGTTAACATACCATTTAACATTATTGTATGGGTATGATACAAATGGCAATTATTTGAACAGACCATCAAATCGAGTAAATATTTTTAATGTTAAAAAAATCTTTTATTATCTTTGTTATATGTTATGAATTTATTAATGAATTTATAACAATGAATAAATATTCACCTAAATACTATAACAATTTAGTATGAAGAAATCCAGATGATATTGAGTAAAGAGCAAGTAGATAAAATTTTGAAAGCATATGTCATAAAAGGTGGTAAAGAAGGTGAACGAGATGAAATTGATGAGGAACTTTGTGTCATGATACCTTTATTACAACTTTTATCTATCAATTGGGGGCAATCAGATTTTCAATTATTTGCATTATTATGGGATTGTTTTCATAAGAGATTAGATAAACCATTTTTATTACAGACTCGTGGACCATGGCTAACGTCATCAGAAAAGTAAGGAAATAATTTTGCTATATTTAAAAATTGACTTGATTTACATTAATGTACAAATTTTAGAAAAACTCCTATGGACATTTTGAACAGTGTTAAAGATAGATTGAAAAATAACAATGAAGCAAGCCAAGAATCTAGCTTTAGCTTATTTTTACATTTATTAGGTGAAAGTATTTGGATGTCTCTTACTTTTTAATTTGATTGTGTACTATAAATAATATTTTAATATTTTTACAGGAATGTTTTTAAAAAAAAATTATAGTCGTACAGAATCGAAAATATGGCATCAAATTAAAGGACGAATTTTTATGAAAATCACGCGAAAAAAATTAGAAGAAAGCACAGAATGTGGCCTTTATAATTTTGTTTCTTTATGTCTAACATTAGCTGTTACTGCTGATACGTGTGATGCGGTAAATATGATCAGAAATCACCATAATCTCTGGTATATTGCAAAGAAAATATTGATAAATTAGTTATAATTAGTTCAATTATTGTTACAGACTATATCTATGTTAAAAGTTACTCCAGATGTCCATAAATGGACTGATGCTGACAGTGCTAAAAAATGTTGTTTGTTATGGAAAAGTCAACTTGCTATGTTATTGTTATACCATGAAAAAAAGATACCGCTGAAAGAAATAGCAACCTATTTTACAAAAACGGTGAGCAATTGTTGATCATTATGTACAGTAGTGAACATTTCTTAATTTGTTTCGATTATTTAGGCTGATACACTATGTTGTATTAATGAAGAAAATTCTCGATCAATGATGGTATGGTACATCGATGTTTTAAGAATAATTTTAACACAAAACAATAACTTTGAATGTGATGAGCATGAACTTTTGAGTGGTTGGATTGATAGAATCCTTAGCGACACTGCCCCAAATAGAGTTGGAGTTTTAATTAGTACTCTGTTGAAAGTTTTTCTGAAATGTGTACAAAATCGTGATTTTATAGGTATTATCATTATCAGTGTTTTTGCCAAATTCTGTTGATTTTATTTATTTTACAATTAATAATCTTTATAGGAAATCTATTAATGAGGAACGCTATACTCCAACACGCCTCTGGTCGGGTTCGCACAATGATTACAGTTAATGATTTAAGTAATAATCTTTACGAGAACCTAACAAAATTGGGGGTTGCACTTACAATAGAAGCTTGCAAAGATAATGTTACACTTAAATATGGACATTCAGCGGCAAAACTTTTTGTGCATTATACAACATGTCCTATTTTAAATGATATGAGGTATCTCTTTAATCAATAAACTTTGTTATAACTTTTTTTTTTAATATAACCAATTGTAATTTTTTTAGAGTACCTAAATTATATTTGAATATACTTCTACAAAATGATTTGGCTATAGAATTTTTAAAAAAAGAAAAAGAAATTAAAGATTTTGATCTTCTTTGTATTCAGGTGAACTCTTTAAACATGATTGTAACAAAATTACCTCATTTTATAACAAACTATACATTCAATTTCAGTTATGGATAAAAACAAATATTTTAACTAAAGAAGACAATGAGGACTATTTCTGTTTCAAAAATTATGTTGCCAACATACCAGTAATAAAAGAAATTATGAGTACAGATAGAGATTACTATGAGTTTTTGCAAAGTAATGAACCTTTAGCTAAATTTTTACTTATTGTTTCAAAAAAACGCAAGACATTTCAGGTATACTTATATTTACTTCGAATTTTTTATTTGTATAAATCAATAATTTTTTTTAGGTATTATATACAACATGAAAGAAATAATTTTATGGTATATTTTAGACTGAACAAGAGCAAATGACTTTTGATAATAAATGCAAGTCATTTCTTTTTGGCATTGAAAAGTGGGCTGTTCAACTTATAAATAACGAAAATAAAGATTCTAAACTATCAACTTGGATCTATCAGTGTATTGGATTAATTACAAAAACTTGGTCTCAAATTTTATACTCAAAGGTTTAGTATAATTTGTTAAAATTTGGTTAAACAATATATTTTCAGACGCAAATAAATAATGTAAAATTTTTTTAGAATGCATCAAATATGCTAAAAACACTCATTACTAAAATAGCTCTACCTCTAGATCAGGAAAGTTTGTCATGCCGTATTCATTTAAGCCAGAAAATATTCTCCATGATCATTTTAGGCTTTGAAAATTTAAATATCAACGTTGACATATCTTTACAAAATTTAATAAGAGAACTCTTTGAAAGATATTTATCATTTTTAGTTATACCAACTGATAGCAATGAACGCTCTTTTAAATTGGCAGATCAATTGTCAATGTGTTTCTTTGCTAAACCTGATTTTACAAAGTCAATTTTTTTTATTTTGGCGAAAAATTTGATAACTTTACCACAAGACCAAACCACACATTCAGCTTGTTATCTGGTAAGATTTTGAAATTTTAAATAAATCATTTAGACTGACTGAGAGGTATATAGTTTTTCAATCGTAATTATTTTCACAGGTAATGCATTTACTAATAAATTTAATCAAAGCCGGTAAAACATACTCTATAGAAATATTGGATTCAATAATATTAGAGTGTGTACCAAATATTCTGAGTTGTTATTGCCGTGTACACGACTCGCATCCTCATAAAAAACATACTATGGATTTTTTGCGGGAAATCACAACAAGTCCTTACTATCAAGAAAATGTGTCATTGAGGTTTGTTCTAGTAACATTGATTAACCTTTAGAGGGTCGAGGTTTTGAAAAATTTGTAAATTGCTTTTTTTTGTAAAATATGGTCAAAGATCCGTAAGTTAGGATCAAACTAAATTGGGATGTTAGCAGGTCAGACTTTTTACGCTTAGAAGCGCTTCCCGGTCCGGTACGGTAAGGTCAAATATTAAAATTTTCAAACTTTCAAAATAACATTCAATTGCACAATTTTTTTCATTTTTAGTTTCATTTAGGTTTCATCTAATCAAATAATTTCATTTTGTAAAATTATTTTTTTTAGGAATGACTGAGCACTTATCAATATATTTTACAATATTAATTTAATAATTTATCTAATTAAAATCACTGCTAGGTTAATTCCATACTTATCACCTTAAAAAAGATTTACCATAAATAATTGATTAATTATTATTTGTACAATATAAATAAATTTGATTTTTTTACGTCTCTATAAATTTACCGACTCTCTAAAGGTTTAATTATTTGGTTATGATACATCTTCTTGGTGGATCAATAATATATTTCTTTATTTTTAGAGAAAAGTTGAAGGACTTAACGTGGAATGTATTTAAAAAAACTACCATACCGCAATCAAAAGCAAGTTTTAACTTATTAAGTTTTACTTTCAAGATAGATAAAGAACTTTATAAGTACTTGTACACTAAAATGGAAACATTAGTTTGTGGATGTGAAAAAAATCAATTTTCAAATGCTGCTACTTTGAGGTAAAAAAATAACGAAATAACTTAATAAGGCATTTAGTTTTAATTCTCTTATAAACTTCAAAACATTTTATATTTTATAGATTTCTACTCAACAGTGTAAAGAAGATATAAAAAGTGAAATAGTAAAGCGGATTCGTTGAAACTTACAATTATAGCATTTATTATGTATATATTCACATGTCATACTAAATGTTTCTATAAAATTTTTTATATTTAATATTTTATTACTTATTCTAACGAGTGACAAGTTATTTAATTGAGCTAACTTACTTCCGCTGCCGAGATCGTTGATTTTTTGTTGGGACTGTACAAGTGTTTGTAAGCGAGTGTCATTTAATAAGTTCGACGCGCGTAATAGCAGTTCGGACAGCATTTTTTAATGCTGGCTCGACGTGATTGTTACTTATGAGGTAGTCCAGTCTATCTATGTATGAATCTACATTTTCAGAAGTAGCTCCGTCATGCGCATCTATATTCAGATGATGCAATATATTAATAAATGATCACTGACATAAATAATATAGTAATGCTAAAGTTTTCTACTTTAAATCTTATTTATAATATTGTTATTTAATGCAAATTGTACCTGTTAGAGGCATATTTGAAAAACAAGAGACTAGTTGCACTCGAAGTTTATCTAGATATTGTTGTAGAGTTGCAGTTGATGTCTTATAATAATTTGTATCAGTTTCTAACTGAGTAACAGCTGCATGTAAACTGTCAACATGCCGTTGTAAAACAGCATTTTGAGATTCATAATCTGTTGTTGATTTCCGTAACTGTCGTAATTCTGCCTCACAAGCTAAAATAAATTTAAATTATAGTAATGCAGTAATAAATGTACATTATTTTTTGAAATAGAAATGTTGTGTTACTTTTATTATGCTCCAAAAACTCTTCTGTAAATATTGGAATTTCTACAGTTCCATCATCATTCTTTATTTGATTTGGCACCTTTGATGCAATAAACAGATTTCAATAATGGATGAGAAAGATAATTAATTGTAAAAAGATATTTAATTCTAAAAGATAATTAATTGTAATATTTTAAGAATTATTACATTATTTGTAGCAGGTGGAGCTTCTGATGTAGTAGAGTTATCAGCTTCGTTTTTTTCTTTTTTTACTTTCTTATCTTTTTTAGCAGCTTGTTTCTCAACAAATGCTTTGTAAGCATCAGTCTTTTTATATTCTTCAAATTCTTTGCTATATCTTTCCTTATCTTGCTCTGCTGCATCCAAATATTGCTGAAATAATGATACTATAAATAAATTTGGAAGATACTTTCAAATTAAACTAAAAATAACCAATTATACCTGCTTTTGATCTGTAGGTAGTACATTCCATTCAGCAGCTAATTGTTTAGTTATTTCCGAAAATGGCATTGTAGGATTTTCAGTTCTAACTTTTTCTCGGCGGTCATTTAAAAATCTTTACAAATTCAAAATTTCATTAAACAGTTTTTTCAATTGAAGTAGCTAAATTAAATATTCTTAAAAATGTATAGAGATGGTAGATATATATTATGCATTATTTTACCTGAAATATCCTGTAAGAGGTTGCTTGGGTGCTTTAGAATCTCGTAAAATTTTTTTTCGTTTTTTTGCTTTATTTGTTGTATTCGAATTGGGTATAACTGCTCCTTTTTTAGGTGTAGTATTTTCTGGATTGTTCTCAACTGTTTTCTCTTCTTTAACTGTTGATGTTTTGTTACCTGCAATTTTTAGTTAAATTTTTGCTATGAAAATAAGCTTTATTTACTTTTATTTATAAGCATAAGAAAGTTTATTTTACAAGAAAGATCTTCTGCTTCTCCGTTCACGTTTGAAGTTGATGGTCCAGCAATATTGTCAAGTATACTATCTATGCTTCCGTTCATTTTGATAAAATAGTAAGTAGGATTGTTGAGAAGTTATTCAAACGTTTTCTTCTTTTGTCAATAAAAAGCACAATTTATGTATTGTAAAACAAATCAAAGTTAAAAGAAATAATTAATAATATACTGCTGTTAAAATTAATATAAAATATTGTATTGCTAAAATTTTCAAGATCAATAAATAATTAGTTGTTTATCAATACTGAGTCTTTACGTCTTACTTTTTTATAAAATACTGAATACAATTTTTAAGGTTAGACTTGACTGATGTACACCAAGTGAAAACAAGTCTGGTCTATAATGCTATAATTCTAGTTAAACTACTGTTGAATTTGTGCGGTGGTTGATTCCCACGTTCCAGTTTTCCCATTCTTTCTTATTTGATTATTTGTTATTTGAAATCAACATTACTAACAATAATGTTTACTTAATAATTAATAAAATATCGAAGTTATTCAAATCCATCATTATCAGAATACATAGATACTCATAATTTAAGGCTAAATTATTATAAAATTCAATTTTATTGAAATTATTAAAATTTTATGGATTTTGATTGGTTCACGGAATGAATAGTTTCAATTTCCTAGCCCGCATGTCTTATGCCTACACTATACCGCATGTGCAATGTATGTATGTGTACATACATACACATGCACCTCTGAAATAGCGCGGTAAAGACCTAAATGTATCTAAGTAGCAATAACGAATATTTCATACTTGTAGCTGCTACTATATAACGATGGCATTAATTATTTGATTTATAGTATTATTATTGGAATAGTAAGTGGTCGATCTAGAAAGTTAACAAAATATGTCAATGTATTTTTCTCTAATTTTTGTAACTATAAGGCTGTAAGCAATGTATGTAAACATATACAAGTAGTACATATACAAACAAAGCAAATAGTAGAATTTTTAATTTAGTGTATAAGTTAACGATTTGTATAAACAAAAATTTATCGTATGCTATACTTTTTCAGCAAGCAATGTGGAATACAACCAAATTAATTTTTTAATGGGTGATTTTTGACATGTGAGAAAATATGGAGTCAGATGAGTCCTCTCAACAAACAAATGATTCAAATGACAAGTTTGTATTGATATTTGTGTATTTTCAAATCCTCATACATTTCAAATTTGCACATCATATATATTTAAAATTTATAATTTAGTACGTTGTGCAATCGACAAGTATGGAGTTTTATGAATACAACAATCATAACTTTATTATCAAACATTGGTGGTAGCAAGTCAACAATAGCTGAGGATACCAGTTTTTATGCACTTTTTGATTTATTGTTAAGTAAAAAGAATGAGTTAGATATTCTAGCCCCACGTATAATAAATAATTTTGTATCTAAAAATGTACAGCAAAGTTATACAGGTATTATCAATTATGTCTTTTATACAAAAAAGTATTTAATTCACAACTAATGATTTTTATGTAGCTTTCACAACATGGCTTTTTGGAGTAATGGTTTACTTAACAAATCTTCTTATTAACAATACAAATAATACTTTGTTGAAAAAAGCAATTGAAGTACAAGTATTGATGGTTAGATTTTTATCTCGTTTGAATGTAGAAATTCATGAGAAAATAACTTCTGAATATTTAGATATACTTGGTGGTAAGAAAGAAAAATATTTCTTCTAATTTGTATTAAGCAATTAAATTTATGTACTAAATTTTGCAGAGTTGATGCTCTTTAATGATGAAACAAAGGATACAAAAGAAATAAAGCTAATTAAATTTCAAGCTGATCAAAATGCCTTAGATTATTTGAATTTAACACCATTAACAGTTATTGTTGAGCATGAGGATATTGTACTATTTCAGGATTCAATTTTAAAGGTAGTTGTACGAGTAAAAATAATTTTATTGTACATTTTAATTAAAATGTGTAATAAAAAAAATTTTTCAGATTATAATTGAGACTGATGTGTCAGTCTGGCCACAGAAAAGACTAAAAAAAGAAGTTTTTGATATTTTAGTTTACTCTCAGCCTAAAACAAAAATAACTGCATTAAAAGTTGGTGTTGAAATGTTCAATTCCTATTTACTAAATGATAATGTAAGTTTTATACATATATAAATAATTATTTCTATATCTTAAAATCATTTGTAATAATTTTAGGATATACAAAAAATAATGCTTTATGCAACTGAAATTGTTAAGTCATTATTTGAGTGGAAAAGAAAAGGATTGATCCTCCTTGGAGCATTGCAAGAAAATTCTTCAATTTTTGAACAACTAGTAACATTTGTTGATGATCCAACATATATCAATTTCTACTTTGAAATATTTGCTACTTTGGCGAATCATACTTTAAGTAATAATTCAGATTTAATCTAAAAATGATTTACAGTTCATCAAACTTTATTGCAGCTTATATTTTTTATTTATAGGATCTGATAAGCTTGAAACAGAAATATGTAACAAAATTGAATATCATATGAATCAATTTTCATGCTCAGATGTAAATACTGAAGTTAACAAATTCTTCAGTTATTTTGATAAAGCTATTGTAAAATTTAATTATTATGAATTCTTATGACTTTATTTAGATTTATGTTAAATTATATTTTCTATGGCAATTTGTAGGACTTCAAGAAGATTATAACAAGTTTTATTATGTACGAGTTTGAAAGTCAAAGATTTGATGATCCTTCAATTGATTTGTCCCAAATAAGTAAAGTATGGGCTACTCTAAAGAAGTTCATGTCTAGAAATTTAGAAATGGAAAAGTATAAAGAAACTCTTAAGCTTCTTCAATTAGCTAATTGGATAGATTTTCGATTTTCCCATAAAAATATTACAGTGAATTTATTAGATACTGATGTAAGAAGTATACAGTCTGCATTTTTAAAAGGTTTGGATTCTAATAATTATCGACAGAACAAATTAATTTTCGAGTGTTTTTCTCAATTAATTTCTCTAAGAGAAATCAACAAAGATCAAATTCAAAGCATATTAATGTTGCCATGGCTTGATATTAGCCTGATACCACCTGGAGTAACAAAAACTCACCTCGCAAATGCAAAGTCATTAGATTTTGCAACAAAAGTTAAATGTGTGAATTCTTTGAGCAGATATGGTAAAGGAAAACAACGTATAGAAATATTAAACATGTGTTTATCTAGTTGTGAAATTGAATTAGGAGTTTCTAGTGTTTTGTAAGAAATTTTACTCATCATAATATAATTACTAAATAACTATTTCTTTACAATCTTTTTTTTTAATTTAGAAATTGTTCAATGTTGCTATTGGATAATACTGTTAATTTCAATGATATTGTGGAACAAATTTTAATACCCGCATATAATACACAAAAAGTTGGTTTTCATGACGTTCTTTCTAATATCCTTGGTCAGTTGGCTTGCATTATTTCAGGAGATGGAATAATAACTAGGTAATCTTTGAAGAAACCATAACTTTTTAAATTAAACTCTTTCACCTAGATTTTATATATATGTTATTTTATCAGAGATTCAACAGATTTTGAATTATGGAAGGTAGTCTGCAAATGTTGTGACAATCTTCAAACTCAAAAAGGCTCTCCTAGTAAAATTTCTTTAAAGCATGAAGCTTTGATGCTTCCCTTTTTTGAATTATTAAATTCTGCATCAAATAAAGTGCGGCTTAATATGTCAAAGAATCTACTTAGATTTTCAAATCACGTTAAATGCTTTAATAGTAATTCATTAGCACGAAAATGGATATTGTATGTTGAAGATGATAATGATGAAATTAGAAAAAATTTTAGTGATGCAATTGGGTTGATTTTGACTAATCGTATCGATTCTTCATTGCCAAATAAGTTGTTTCAAGATGATATACCACCATCATTAACAGAATTTATTAATATAATTATGAATAAACTTATTACTGTACTGAATGAAATATTGACGAATTATAATCAGTCACTCCACCAAAGTCTACTGATGACTGCTAAAAATGCAGCTTGGTAAGAATGTTGCTAACAAGTGAAAAATACGACGTTAGAAAATAATTAATTACTAACAAATTTTGAATTAAAAATATTTTTCAGTATACAATCAAATCTGACCGAAAGAAGAGCCTTAAATATTTTTATATTAACTATTGTACATGTAAAATCGTCACCACTGGCTATTGCATTAGCTACTGATGCATTCGGGGAAGTCGCAATTTATCATAAAGTTTCTGCAAAAATGATGTATACTCGTTATAAAAAAGACTTTATGAGAGTAAGCTGTTTTCAAATAATTTTAGTGTTATATATTATCAAAATTGTAATTAATTATGATTATGATTATATTTTTATTAGTTAATGATGACAATAGCTGTGCACAACAGAATAAATTATGACTATAATATGTCAACCACAATACACAGAGTTGCAAAGTGTTTAGGATTTCAAGGATCTCGACAATTATTGCGTAGAGATGGGCATCATGCCGTTAGTTTTCTATTACCTCAAATAATTAAATTTCGCAAAGCTATCACCTTGTTTCACGATATCGCTGAATTAACTAATTCGGCTGAGAAAGACATGTTTAAGGCTTATTTTAAGGTTTGCTCAGTTATCAAATAAAACTAAAAATCGTAATTGTCAAACACATTGATGCATTTTTTCAATATTTAACTTTTGTATTGTCTATTTTTCAGCACATATGCTGTCAAGTTTTTTTATTTGAAAACATTGAAGATGGTGTTCAAATCTTTAAACTAGTTTCCGACATCACTGAGACTAGTATACCTGTTATGACGGCACATGAATTTTCTGTAATAAAATTACTAAATCAAATTGAATGTCAAATTTGTCGATATGATTTTATCTTCATAATTTAATTATTACAGTTTATAGTTACTGAAATGATGTTGCACTTTCATTCTCAAAAGGAAAAAGTTTTGAAGCATTTGGAGTTTCTATCAAAATATGATAGTCAACAAAATCCCAATTTTAAAACGCAAGACGGAATGGTGAGAATAATTTAAAAAATAAAACGTAATAAAAAAATTGTCTAACTATAAATAATATTATTTAATCAAAGGTGCAATATTTGAATGTAATTTTGCACGCCATACTAGTCCATATTGACCAAAATTTGAATCCTAATAATGAAGAAATTATACAACAATATGCATTAGCATCACTTGCTGAAATAATTCGCTTCATGGGACCGAATTACATCACTCAGTATAGATACAAAATTTTGGCAACTTTGAGAACAGCTCTTACCTTTACCAGGCCTGGTTTCAGAAAATTAGCTTGTGATGCGTGGGATGCATTTATTCGAAAGTAAATTCGTTTGCAAGAATTTGCAACCAACTTTTTAGTGTTCAATAGAATAATTGCAAAAAATTTCTAACGTAATATTTTCATTTCCAGCACAACCTTTAAAGAACTAGGACCATTATTAGCTACAATATGTATGTCATTGGTTCCACTGTTTGAAACTTACGCCAAAGAAACTAATTCAATACTTGATTATCTTCTCATTAAAAATAAAGATGCTTTGAAAGAGCATTTATCCGATTTATTTTTTATCAACGATTTGAAAATATCACCTAATATTTCGACTCGAGTGATCAGTCACATGAAACAAATTAGGTAAGATTTTTCAGCATTCTTTAGATTTCGATATTTGTCTACAAAATAATAGAATCATAATAAAGTCAATATTGTATAGACCAATATCTATCGAGGAAAACTTGAGATTGTGGATACAACGAATAGTGCACGAAACGGACGAAGTACGGTTGAAAGCCCTACTGTATTTACAACAGTATCTTTCAAAAAATCGAGATGGAATTAACGTGCTCATATTATCTGATGTCAACGTTCACCCACTCATTGTAGAAGTAATTTTTGTGTTACTTGATTTTTGTATTGAAGATAATACTGTTTATGTTTATAAAATTTTAATTTGAATTTTTTAAGTTACTAGATAGACTTATGGCGGGATGCCAAGATAAAGACGACGCTATACGTATAGCAAGCGGCGACTGTATTGGAGAACTAGGTGCAATAGAGCCAAGCTTATTGCCTAGAAGAATTATTTCTCGAGGTAAAGTTATAAGATTACTGTTATAGGTATATTGCAGTGGTTATTAAAATTGTTATTACTTTATTAGGAGATACCAAGTTTATTCCCGATATAAACCACGAATTTGCTTATGCGCTATTCTGTGAACTCGTCAAAGATTATCAATCGCAAAAAAGCACTCAAAGCATGGATTGTTTTTCATTAGCCATACAAGTATGTATTAGCATGAAAAGGTGTTCAACGTGTTGTTTTATTTATAATTAAATTCGTTATTTCATTACGGGTAAATAGGAAATATTAAAAGCGTACGGTATATCTCCTGGAGGTAGAAACTGCAAGATATGGAATGAATTACCTTCGAAAATCAAACACATGATCTTTCCTCTACTCTCGTCTCATTACCGAAATATGACTGTAGATAATGAAATTCCGATTTCAAGTCCAATCTATGGGTTTGTTTATTTCAAGTTTTTTATTCTATTACAAGTTACATGTTTATTAATTTCATAACACGCTCTTTATTTCTCATAGTTCTGAATTAGGTTCTTCGTTTGAAATGTGGGCTGCCAATTGGATAATTACTATGATAAGAGGAATAAAAGATCCTGTGATCAGCTGTGTTTTAAACGCCTGTCGTCCAGCTTTTAAACGAAACGTTAAATTAATAACTTTTTGTATTCCTTATCTCGTTTGTATGTTTGAACTAATTTGTACTTTATGTGAGTTAATATCTCAAACGATTCCAAGCGATATTATCATTATATTTTTCTTTATAGCATACATAGTAATAAATGGATCGTTGACCGATATTCGAAAATTGACCGCAGAAATGTTAGCTGTAATAGCAATCCAAGAAAGATCTCAAATTGATCGTGAACTTTCGCGTTATCGACCATTACGTGTCACATTTGATGTACAATCAAATAGTGAAAGAGTTTCTGATGAAGCTAGACGAGTTCGTTGTTTACAGGTGAAATTGATATTATTTAACTTTTTTCTATTAAAAAGCTATTAATATTCTCAACGGATTTATGTAGATTAGTTAGTCATTCAAAATAATTTCACTAAGAAAAATATTTTTACAGATCATTTTTTCTACGTTTGATCATTTGCAACGATGGTTAAGAGAAAAGCGGAAATCGCAAGATGAAGCTTACAAAAAAATTGAAAGTAAATATTTCTTTATTTCATCTGATTCTAATTGAAACTGTTAAGAACTATGAATAGTATGAAAAATATTAAACAAATGTGTTTCACTTGCAGAATTTTGTGATGGTTTCCCAAAATTACTATTAGCCGAAGGTTGTTATCAATCCTACGAATATCATAGGGCACTCATATATCTAGAAGAACATATGACTGTTAGCAAAAAGGGATTATCGGAATCAAGAGAAGCAGGTTTATTAGCCGTAATAAATGATTTTTTATATTATGGAGTAATGTTTATATATATTGTTGTTTTTATTCATTTCCAATGATAAATGTTTTAGAAAATTTATACGCAATTAGAGGAACCTGATGGAGTTTCTGGTATTTTAATTAGTCAAGATCAATCACCTACACTTCAACAATTAGTATTAGCCCACGAAGTTAACGGTCAATTCCAGGTAATTCTCAGTCTAAAATAACAATCATAGTTAGTATCATCCAAACAATGAGAAAACCTGTACAGGATGCTGCTACTTGTTACGAGAAATTGCTGCAAAACGCGGGTCGAAATCCTAAGTATTTACACGGAATGATTCAGTGTCATCTTGGCTTAAATCAACCATTTACAGCATTAAATTTAACTAAAGGAGTATCGGATAATAGGTAAGATTATATAAAACGTTTAGTTAATCAAATTTAACAACAATCAAAATTTTTTAGACCGGAGTTGGAAACTCTTATATGTGATTCAGAGCCGTTTTGGCAGCTTGCTCATTTCGGTAAAATTGAAAGTGACTCAAAGAAAAATATCAAATTTAATTTACTTCAAGATTTAAAAAACCGTATAAAGCCTAATATACTATCTATAAAAAAGAAGTTAGTTTCACTATTGACAGCATCCTCTCGTCCAGGTGCATACGAACAAAGTTATTCGTACATTATTAAGTAAATTTCTTTTAATAAATAAAATCATATAATGCAAAGTCACTTATATTCGCCAATTAATTTTTCACATTCTTTTAGACTACACGTTGTGAATGAATTTGAAAAAGCGTGTTCTCTGATGCTGGAGGATTCTGAAAATTTGCCGATGATATTTGATGAATGGGAAAAACGGGACAAACTGATAAACGCTTCGCGAGGTGCCGAATTCATCTGTGGAATGCGAACAGCTATATTGGATTTGGCTGTGCAATTACAAGTGAATTCGAAACCAGAAAAAATTATCATCAAAGAAGAAATTGGGAAGCTATGGCTGAAAAGCGCGAAAAATGCTAGAAAGTAAGATACTTGATTATGTTGGTTTCTATATGAGTCAATTGATATTTTTTAATTAACTTATTTTCAGGGCTGGATTATATCAACAAGCATACATGTACATTTTATATGCTACAGACTTTTGCGCTCCACAAGAACTTTGCATTGAACAAGCCAAACTGTACTGGCAAAAAGGCTCGCATGAAGAAGCTCTTATTACTTTGAAACGATGTTTAGCGACGTATTTCAAATCATCTGCAGAGTACAAGAAGATGCCTCCTCTTACTGTTACGACCGAAAGAGAACAGTGTGCAAAGGTCTATTTCCTAATTTTAGTACAGAAAATGCGCGCGCACACACTTCGTTATAATTTCAAGCTATGATGTTTATCCAATTATTTCATTAGGCTAAGCTGCTATGGGCGAAATACAATGATGAAACGTTGAATGTCGATGCCAATGGAAATATGACAAATTATAAAGAGGCATTTGAAGTATGGAGGCTCTGGGAGAAAAGTTGTCTTGCTATTGCTCGTTATTACGAGTCAGTAATAGACAAAATGAGCGACGAAGAGCGTATGTCATCGAGTGGTCGGTTAGTTGATTTTTGTATATTATTCTTTGTAGCTTAATATAATATAAATACTTTCTCAAAATACGAATATTTTTGTCATTTCAGAGAACTACAAACGCATATAATCAATTATTATGGAAAATCTTTGACGTGCGGTTGTAAATATGTTCATCAGTCACTACCAAGAATGATAACAGTTTGGCTGAATTATGCCTCTCGGGCTAGGACACACTCTGCTTCGGATAATGGCATTGCAAAAACTTTGGGTCAAATGACAAAAATTGTTGGTAAGCCAAAAATAACTACTTATTTTTACAACGACTTTTTAAAAATATAATTCAAATTGACATTCAAGTATAATTTACTTTTTCAAAAAGATGTTCCACATCATACATCCACTTAATCGATTATTAAGATATTATAATTATTAACATTTTATAATTAACAATATAATCAATACTTATATTTTATTATATTCAACGACGCTTGATAATTATTCTCCTCTTATTTATTAAAGTTATTATATTTTAATTTTACTTTCGCAGAAGTGTATATAGAAAAAGTACCTCTTTTTATGTGGTTGACAGCATTTAGTCAACTTGTATCAAGAATTTGCCATCCAAATCGTGAAGTTCAAAATACACTCTTTACGATTATTGTTAAATTGATAAGATCATATCCTCAACATTGCCTGTGGATGATGGCCTCAGTATTCAACGTAATTTTTCATTTTATTTATATTTTTCATCTTTATATTGAACCATCGGTTGAATAATTTTTTATTTAGTCTTCATATTCAGCACGACAAAAATGTTGCAAAGAAATTCTTAACAGAGATGCACTTAAAACAACGGAAATGATAAAATTAATTCATTGTTTTCATAAATTTTGGGAAAGACTTATAGAATTGTCAAACAAACACATTCCTGAGGTAAGTTAATTTTTTTTAGTTACAAAATGATATCGTCAAAATTTCGATTATAATAATCACAGAAATTATTCACTTTAGGGACTGCAAACAACAACCGTCAATGTACTTTCAAAATCGTTGCCTCGTCTATTAGCTGATTCAGATTTCGGACCGATCATGATTCCAACATCAAAGTTTAGACAGCTTCACTTACCGATGAAAGGCGCAAATATGGATCAACATAATCCATTTGCCCCGTAATATCTGAATGTTTCTTTTTCACTTTAGAGTTAGAGTAAAATATTCAATCAATTAAAATTTAAATTAAATTATGTTTATTTCTTTTCAGTAACTGGGTGAGCATAATTGGTATTGAGGAACAGGTAGCAGTGATGCCGTCCCTTCAACGTCCACGTCGAATTGCCTTGCGAGGTTCTGATGGCAACTGTTACTTGTTCATGTGTAAACCGAAAGACGATTTACGAAGAGACTTTCGATTGATGGAATTCAACGATATCGTCAACAAGTATCTTCAAAAGGATCCGGAATCTCGTCGGCGTCGTTTATACATACGTACTTACGTAAGTTTTCTATTTTGCGAAAGATTGAAGTTTAAAAATTAACATAAAATTTCACTAATTGCTGCAGAGTGTGGTTCCATTAAACGAAGAGTGCGGTTTGATAGAATGGGTGCCAAATTTGATGGGATATAGGGTCATAATCATGAATACGTACAAAGAACGAAATATGGCAACCGGTATGAAACAAGTGAAAGCTTGGACATGCGGTGAGCACTTGACTTATTCCTAAATAAAATTATTTAGGATAATATAATTATTAAGATAACTTATTTCTAATATAAATAAAAGTATCTTTCAATATAAAAATACGCTTAATTTATAGCATTGAAAGATCCATTAGAAAAAAAACGACAAGTATTTTTACAAAAACTTTTGCCATGTCATCCACCTATATTTGGCGATTGGTTCCACTACGCCTTTCCGGACCCGTATGGATGGTAAACATTTGTTATAATTTGAAAAGTAACCATGCGATCAGTGAAATTTAATAAAACTTACAAGAAGGATCTATGTGATACTCAAGTAAATTTTCAATTATTATTTTCAGGTATGAAGCGCGAACTGCTTACATTAGAACTACAGCTGTTATGTCAATGGTCGGCTACATCCTAGGTCTGGGTGATCGTCACGGAGAGAACATTTTGATTGACTCCAAGTGTGGAGATTGTGTTCACGTTGATTTCAATTGCCTTTTTAACAGAGTAATTAATATTTTTTCTTCATCAAAAAATACCATAATAATCTACATAAATATTGATTTAAATACTTAATTTAAAGGGCGAAACTTTAGAATGGCCCGAGCGTGTACCCTTCCGTTTAACTCATAATATGGTAGAAGCTATGGGACCCCTGAAATATGAAGGACCTTTTCGACAATCTTGCCGCACTACGATGAAAGTTTTACGAGAACAAGCCAGCACACTTATAAGTGTGTTGAAGCCATTTGTTTATGATCCTCTTGTTAGCTGGAACAGGAATCCACTTAGCGATGCTGGTGAAAAAACTAATGAAAAGGTAAATTTAATTTTAAGCCAAAGTTACGATAAATTAATGTACCATAAAAGAAATTGTCGCTATTCATTGAAATTTTCATCAGTTTGAAATCAATGATTTATTAAAATAAGAATTCAAATATGTATGTGAAAAATGCAAATATAAGTAATCAAAATAACAATTTGAATAATTATATTTCCTTTTTAGGCTGTTGAACATATTAAAAGTATAGAAGATAGACTTAAAGGTATGGTAGGAACACGAGGGAAAAGATTGGAAGCTCTCACGCTGTACTTGAGTGTAGAAGGTCAAGTGAATCATCTGATTTTAGATGCTATTAATATTGATAATCTGTGTCAAATGTATGTTGGTTGGGGGGCATATTTGTGAAACATAGAGATAATTTTTTTGTACAGCCGTTTTTTACTCTTTTTTTAATTATTTTTGTATAAATACGAATTAATATTTTAAAGGATTACCATTTGTTAAAAAAGCGTTGTATTTGATGTTTAAAAATCGAATTCGATTGACAATAAAATAATTATACACTTAAAAGTATAAGTTCAGTCATAATCTACAAAATTCACCTCACGTTGTATCAATAAATGTATTCCACAATATGTAAATTATACAAATTCACGGACACTTTCTTTCCACTTGGCTTTTTCCACTTTCTTCATACTCTTGACTTGATATCCACATTTGTTGAAAAGTTCCAATTGAAGCTAGAATAGATCCGCCAATCCATGCTCCAAATCTACGCTCGGCACATCCATTAGCACTTATCAATTTGAGTCTCATACTGGACGGTATCCTCATAGACAAATCTCGATTGAGTCGTTCAGGGAATCCCTGTAAAATATTAATTAAAAATTAATATTTATTTATGTAAGAGAATATAGATTGTCTATTCCAAGATAAATTTTTATATTAAAAATCCATTGATCATTACCTGAATAAATGAATTTCCTCCAGTAACAACAACACTGCCATATAATGCTGGTCTAACATCCACATCACACATACCAACACTAGTTGTGACAATATGACCTACTCCAAGCATTGTATTTCCGACCATGCCTCCACGCATTTGAACTACGCTAGGGTCAAACAAAGCTTCAGGAATACGAAATCTTTCACAACCAAAATCTTGTCTATATCCTGTTGGAAATTCATAAGGTACTGCAGGAATAGTTGAAACCACTTTTTCATCGTATGGCGTTTCAGAAACTTGAAGAGTTGTGGCTTGAAAATCTTGTATGAGCTTTTTGACCATATAATTGTGCCATGACTTTGTTACTTCTGGGAGATTTTTCTTTTTTACCCATCTAGGTTTGTCATGATCCTTTACTACTTCTTTACTTCCAATCATGTATGCTGGTGAAAGATCAATCTCATTTTCCTGGAAAAATAAAAAATATATTGTACATACATTGAACTAGTAGGTAATTTGAATTCATTGTTTATATATTACTGAACTTACCTGTAAAAATTGTCGACACTGCATAGAAATGTAATCTCCTCCTAAAGGAGATTTTACAATAGCTTGTGTTAGAACAAATCCATCCTGTACAGGAATAGCTGAGGTATGCGTTGCACCACTGTCGACAACAATACCAGTTGCTCTTCCGTTAGCAAAAGCTGCTAAGACAGCATTTTTTACAAGAAAGTAAGCTGGAACATTATATTTTTCAAACATGAGTTCCGTCAGTTTTTCTCTCTTACTTCTAATATTCCAAGGTGATTCAGAAAATAATACTGGATGATATTCAGCATCAGATTGAATGATTTTTGAATACGTATAATCTAAAACCTTGTAAATATTTTCAAAAAGAAGTTATTTTATTTATAATTTATATTATGTAGTTAGAAAAAAATATAAAAAATTTACTTTTTCAAAATGATCCCAATCTTCAATCATACCATCTTTCATGTAACTAACAACTTCCATTCCTTTTCGAGGTACATGTAAAATAGTTGTATCAATGTAGTATTTTGGAATACTTTGGGTAATATTATTATCAGGCTTCTTATCATCAACTTCCATAGGTTCTGCTTTAGTTGCATTGCTATTTGCATCTTCTCCTACACCTACAACAGCTGGGATTTCAGCTTTTGGTGTATCTTCTTGAGCGTAACCAACTCTCAGAGAATAGTGACCCAAATCAAAGACAAGGGCACCTATCTCATCTCCACCATATATCATATTTGACATGATGACAGTTATTAGTAAATCTGGAACAACGTTATTTATATTATCTATTAATCATAATAAATAACATGTTTGGTAAGTAAATTTTCAAGTGATTAATAATTTTTTACAGTGAATATGTTATATCGAAACTTATTACTTAAAATTCACGCATTAATACTTATTAAAATATGTATGTGTAAACGCATAGTGCGTATCAAAAGCGAAAATATTTATTGTTATAAGACTCTTTTATTTGTCTCCAACTAACGTATCGTTCAAAGGTTAATATTTATTATGAGAACTCGCGGATTAAAGTAATTTAAAATGATTTGAAGAAATAGGAGTGAATTTAAAAACTTACATTGCAATTAGTAGAAAAATATTGAATTATTTTGTAAAGAGCTAACTAACTCCAAGCATAAACATCACTATTTCAACTAAAAGACGCGGAGAATATAACCTACAATGATCTCTACTGCCGCCGGGCGGCGCGGTGGTTTAGATTTTTGTGGCAACTGCGCACACTTAGTGTGCAAGTAATGCTCGAGTATTTTCGCTATTCATTGAAATTTTATATTCGTCAAATTACTAACGCAAAGTCTGTGTATATATATATATTAACAAATTTTTCACGTAAAGAATTTTTTTTAACCTAAGTCTACATTTTTACTATTATTACAAACAGTAGTTGTTTAAATGTCTTATACCGTAACAATTTTTATATAACTGTAAATTTTATAATTATTGTTCGTAAAAATTTCTATACAAAAAGTAATAATTGAATATTTGTAATATATAACATACAGTTCGGTTTATTTTTCTTTCCAATAAATACAGTATTATATACTTATAATTATAAATAACCAATTTTATATTTTTAACATAATTTTTTAAGTAAGTTTTGCCCTTTTTAAAAGTGGTTATTGATGTCCATATAATTAGTATCTTCGTTTTTATGCTGTATAAGTAAGTTATCTTTGCGGAGGAACTCATACACATAATTTCCTCATCGAATGGCTTAGTCAATTGATATTTTGTTCGAATAACAATTCAACTTGCAGAGACGAAATAATGTTGAATAAATATAATAAACATTTTTTATAATACAACGATTATACATTTAAACATATTTTAAAAGCATTTTACTATTACTGATTTCTATTATTATAAAATATATAACTACTAAAAGTTAATGTTTATAAGGAACAATCTTTTTTCTTTTTTAATCAAAATCATGGTTAACGTCTTCAAAAATTACTTTTCGAACAGTGTACATTCAACATTGGAAATGCACATTTAGTTCCCGTTAGCTTCCATATTATCACTAATGCCTCAAATGCGACAGAAGGCGGACCAACATCGGAGTAAATAATTGAATATCAGTGGTAACCACTAAATTTTTTTCAAGCAAATTCTCACCTGTTCTGAAAAGAATTATAGCGCCAATTACAGAGAGCTGACAGCCACGCCATTCATAGCGAAGTAAAATTTTGTCACCCATGGATCGAAAGGTTCACGGTATTCGGCATTAGCACGGGTCACTAATCACTAATCAAAGCCTTCCAACAGAGTTCAGATAATTAAGCCTTTCCTCATCCACAATAACAGCTTCCGTATCTTAGTTAACTCACGGATATACCATTGAGCACATCACTTACAACGAGAATTACTTAGTGGATGCACTTTCCAGGATCGACGCACTACGTTTACCAACTACTATAAGCTTAATCGAATTACCGAAGACACAAAGCTCGGAGGAAGATCATCGAGCTTGAACAATTACTGGGATGTACCTCAATTTCATTTAAGCTGTAGAAACTTATAGGTGAACCTGAATTTACTACGGCGTGACATCAACGAACATTCATCCTTTCGTATGTCAACAGTTTTGCAAACAGATTTTCGACACTTTTCGTGTACCCTCTTATCCGAGTGGTATATCCCGTGTACGCATCGCCTCACAATGCTATATACCCTATGGCACATTCCGGACTATGACGATCAGCTTTTCAGGGGTAGGTTTCGGATTTTCTTGAAACTTGGTCTACATATTGCTTATATGGTACTGCATTCAAGTATGGATTATTAGATCATTATAATAATTATATCAAAAGTTATAAACAATTGAACATTTTTGACGAAAAATTTTCAAAAATTTATATCTTCGCAACCATTGAAGTTATCGAAACGAATTTTTTTTATATTACGCATAAAAGGGTGTACTTTACGAAAAATACTTTAATATCAATTTTTCCAAAAGTTATTAACATTTTTTTTAAACAATTGCCCATATCTCAAAAAGTGTTATTTTTATTTTAAAAATTCTTTTTTTATTGCATTCTTTGACATTTTATCTTTAAGAATCCGTTTTAAAATTCATCGAGCAATCATTAGATGCGACACTGAGCGATAATAGTGGACGCTCACAGGCCCTACGACGCCGACAAGTCGGTAAGTTTGATAGCAGCGTCGACGCGCGGTTGAGCGAGCGTCGTAGGGCCTGTGAGCGTCCACTATTATCGCTCAGTGTCGCATCTAATGATTGCTCGATGAATTTTAAAACGGATTCTTAAAGATAAAATGTCAAAGAATGCAATAAAAAAAGAATTTTTAAAATAAAAATAACACTTTTTGAGATATGGGCAATTGTTTAAAAAAAATGTTAATAACTTTTGGAAAAATTGATATTAAAGTATTGTTCACTCAATATTTTCAAAGTACACCCTTTTATGCGTAATATAAAAAAAAAATCGTTTCGATAACTTCAATGGTTGCGGAGATATAAATTTTTGAAAATTTTTCGTCAAAAATGTTCAATTGTTTATAACTTTTGATATAATTATTATAATAATCTAATAATCCATACTTAAATACACTACTATATAAACAATACGTAGACCAAGTTTCAAGAAAATCCGAAACCTACCCCTGAAAAGTTAATCGTCATAGTCTGGAATATTATGTACGGCCTGACGTGCACAAAGACTTAGGTAGCATGGTTAAGCACTAAGAGCAAGTTCCTAGCATTCCTCACTCATTTGGGTATTCGTTTTAACCTCGTAAGTGTACGTCGAAATTGTACGACTACTATAAGGTGAACGGTTTCAAATATTAATAATTTTCTTCACGCACTAGATCATAAGGTTTGGCTCTTTCAATACTGTAACAACAAATCAAGGTTCCTAATTCGAATTCGCTCTTTTCGTGGTGTTTGTCGAGTTGGTCAGCGAGTATCACCCTCTAGAAAATGGACTATTTGAATGCTGACATCGTACTATGAAAGCTGCTATCGTACGTCACGAGGACAAATAATAGTTAGATGCACTCCTATCGGTTTTACTTGCTTGAAAAAAAATCTCAATACATCAGCGACTGAATAACTCTACGGCTCTACTCTAGTGATTCCTGGCGAATTCTCGTATAAAGATTCTCCAACGGATCCACACATTTTTTTAGAAGACTACAGAAAACACAAACGCAATCTTAGTTTAGAACATCCTCACACTCGTACAGTCTCAGCCGTATGTATTTTAATTATACTTTCATAATTATTAAAACAAAAATATTTAGTTCTGAGAGTTAGATAAGCTATACGAATGAAGCATCAGTAGAAATTGCAGAAACTGCTTAAAATGTAGTTTTTAATTAACACAAAAGTCCAAAATAACTTAAAAAAATAGTATTAGAAATGATAATAATTAAACAGCGCTTTAGAAAAAATTAAGTGGTATCTTCAGAAATAAAAAAGCTGAATTTTTCTCATCGACCGAAGTAATGGAATATCTAGAAAAGGCCGCGAATAATAACTAGTTAACAAACAAGATAACATGATATAATTTTTTTTAATAAATATTTTATTTATATTAATATCAATTTTAATTTTTTTAAAAATTTGTTGAATATGCTTAAAAATTTTTTCTTTTTTTACAGGCGGCAGGCTGTTCCGATCGCCCTTCCTTCGCATGTGAATCTTATCATAATAATCTTTTATATTTGTGATGCTGTGCAATCACAGAAAAATTTTGCCAATTATCATCATCGCGTACACCTACCTACCTCTTACTTATATATATATATATATTTTTTCCTTTTACGAGATACTTCAAAGTCCAACCAATCAGTTGACAGATGCTTTTAGCTAAAATGTACACGCCACGAGACCTGGCAGGGAGATACCTCAGAGCTTACCCGATGCGCACACAACACCCCAAGCACTCGCATCTTCCCTCAAACTAGTAAAGCGAATCGACGCCTTCACGAGGAGCTAGGCAGTAAAGAAAAATAAAACTATACCTGATACCAGTGTTGATCCGAGAGCCGATTAGCACATCCACACACACACACACGCGCGCGCGCGTGCGCGCAGGCACATGCAGGCACGCACGCACGAATACGAACATAAATTTCGCTATACGGGTCCTTAGCTCGGGACTTCGCCACACAAGCAGTAAGGAAGGAGGGGGTGGAGTACCAACCTCGTTAAAACAACATTTTCATTTGGCTCGGATGATAGCTCCTTGTTAAATGGCTCCCACCTGGAACACACGACCGGGGAAGAAATCTAAATATAAAAAAACAAAAATGGAAAAAAGGGTAAAACAGCATAACCACAAGCGGGCACGGCCGAATAACCAAATCTCGCTACCGGTTCCGATTGGATGAGAGTCCCATTGGCCGGTGCTGGCTTCATAGATTTTGAGATTCTAAAACTCACGAGATCGTAGAGGTGAAAAAGAACCACAATGAGCAACGAGAAGCTTGTGTCACTCGTAGGAAAAATCAATTAGATCGACTTGGTGACAAAATTGATGAACTTGTACAATTTGTTAAGAACAAGAACGTCTATAAAACCATCAAAAATCTAATAAGGAGTATAGGGGCCTCGTATAAGGTCCTTTATTCAGCGTACAACGATCTGCAGCAGGGCCAGCGATTAGAAACACTAGCCAAAGAGACGCGAATGACCCCGAGTCTCACAGCTAAAAAAGAGAAAGAAAAAGTAAAGGAGAAACATAGGAAAGATCCTCAAACTCCCTTACGCATCCAAATAAGACAACAAAGGAGTACTAGCACTTGGGTCACAGTAGAGAAAAATAAGAAAAAGAAAGATAAGAGAAAACAGCAGCAAGGCTAAATATAAGGTAGGAAAAGAATAGAAGAAAATAAATAGCGCAAGGACATACGATGTCACCCCCCCCCCCCCCCTCGTCCAGACGCAATCAAGATAAAAACAGAAAGTGAGATACGCAGATATCCTAAATAAGGTGAAAGAGGCCCCTGAACTCAAACCAGTTAAGGATAGGGTAACGCATATTAGAAAAACGTTAGCTGGTGAGCTTGTGGCGTCTCGCACAAGGTCGGTGCTGACACCACTCGGACGACAACGACGGCAAGAGACGAGCCAATTTTCCGCTTGAGCGCTGATGCTCGTTAGCACGACCTTTGATGTCACTTTCTGCGGCAAGAGAGGGTAGTTCAGAAGTTTTCTCCGAAAACCGGAA